CTACTTCCATAGTGATACTGTCTCGTAAACCCAAGGAGGGGTCGCTATGAGTCAGGTCCAACTCGACTGTACATAACAACAACAACAGGGTGGATGATGAGAAACTGGAAGGAATTAATGGTGAAGAATGTGAGTCTGTTGTCAGGTGCCACCAAGTTGATTCTGACTCAAAACGATCCTGTGTACAATGGAAGAAAACTGCCTAGTCCTGCAGCATCCTCACAAATATTGCTATGCTTGAGCCCATCATTGCAGCCACTGTGTCAATCCATCTTGTTGAAGGACTTGGCCTTTTTTGCTGACCCTCTACTTTACAAAGCATGATGTCCTTCTCCAGAGGCTGGTTCTTTCTAATAACATGTCCAAAGTACATGAGACGAAGTCTCACCATCCTAGCTTTTAAAGAGCTTTCTGGCTACCTGTCTTCCAAGGCAGATTTCTATGTTCTTATGACAGTTCATGGTATATTCAGTATTCTTTGTCAACACAATAACTCAAAGGCATCAATTCTTCTTTGGTCTTCCTTATTCATTGTCCAGCTTTTCCATGCATTTGAGGCAATTGAAAATATCAAGGCTTGGGTCAGGCTCACCTTTGTTCTCAAAGTGATATCTTTGCTTTTTAACACTTTAAAGAGGTCTTTTGCAGCAGATTTGCCCAATGGAATATGACTTCTGATTTTTTGACTGGTGCTTCTGTGGCCATTCATTGTGGATCCAAGTAAAATGAAATCCTTGACTTTGATATTTTCTCTATCATCATGCTGCTTATTGGTCCAGTTGTGAGGATTTATGTTGAAGTGTAATCCATACTGAAAACTGTAGTCTTTGATCTTCATCAGTAAGTCCTTCAAGTCCTCTTTGCTTTCAGCAAGCAAGGTATGTCTTCTACATATCACAGGTTGTTAATGAGTCTTCTTCCAATCCATTGGTGTCTCTTGTGTCTACTAAAAAGAGTTCTGGTGGCACAGTGGTTAAAGCATTCTGCTATTAACCAAAACATTGGTGGTTCAAACCCACCAGCCACTCTGCAGGAGAAAAATGAAGCAGTCTGCTTCCATAAAAATTTACAGCCTTGGAAACTCTGTCCTATATGGTTGCTATGAGTCAGAATCAACTTGATGACAGTGAATTTGTTTGTTTTTGCTGTAGTGTCTACTTAAAGCAAGGTTGGGTGGTCATTTATGAATACGTAGTGTTCTCTCTCTTTGCAGATCCAAAGTCAATAGGGAATACTAGATGATGCCTTTCTCAGAAAAATGGAATTATTTTGTTTCTGATTGAGCAGTTGTGCAGTGTTGACAAATAAAATATAGGAAAACCAAAAACGAAACTCACTGCCATCGAGTTGGATCTGACTCATAGCAATCCCTCCTTGGTTTTCTGAGGTGGTATCACTACGGAAGTAAATTGCCCAGTCTTCCTTCCGTGGAGTGGCTGGTGAGTTTGAATTGCCAACTCTCTGGTTAGTAGTCAAATGCCTTGGGCACTTTGCCATCAGAGCGCCTTTTAACCATCTAAGGTGCCATGCAAATACATGAATCCCGAGAACCAAAAATGGACTACTGCTGTTCAAAATGGTCTTCCTTGAAGTCACTCCACCTATCCCATAATAAAAGAGACCTGAGGTAGAAGAAGAGGAAGTGACCTTATTCTGCCTTAGGGCCTTTGTCCAGTTATTTGCTCCTAGAAAGACCTGAAAAGCCATAGAACCCTACAAGGTTAACAGTTTGAAAGAATCAAAATCTGCAACTTCTGTGCTACAAAAAAAAAAAAAAAAAA